TTTTTTTTTTCAAGCAGAAGACGGCATACGAGATATCCTGTTACATCAAGTGTAGAGACCAGCTCGTATGTTGCAAACGCGCTGGGATGTTCGCCACTTTCTAGTTCTCTGTCTACGTCCACATACGATAATCCTGACTTTGTCTTGGTATCCCATGTTCATGTCAGAACGAAGTAGATATGGGACAAAATAATGTGGTAGCTGCTGAGCAAATCTACTTCGCTATAAACTAATTTAGCTTCAGGTCAGTACCAGTCGAATTTCGTGAGAAGAAATGGAGCATATAGTTTGCGAACATTGACCTATGACATGGCACTGAGACATAATCCCTGACTTTTCTGTTTGTAATTTCGTTACAGTCTAGTTGTTATAATCGGAATAGAAGGCAGAAGAAGGCAATCGAGATGTTCTGATGGCAATGGCTTTATTCAACGGCACACAAAGATAGCGAGGTTTTTCAGCTTCTACACTCCAGCATATGCATAAGGTTCTGGTTGTTCTAGAACATTTCTAGCGTACGGCGTGCGCCTGGGCATTTTAGAAACTTCTAGATGGCGCATAATTCCCACGCTGTGTGGGCGGTCGTCACTTTTGCTCGAGGCACGGCGTGGGCGGCTTGTATGCGGGCATGACCCAGTTGGCCTCTTCTTTTCGTCGACGACCCTGAGTGCATGGGGGGGTCCCGCCTCCGCACCAAATTTCGTCTCTGTTCATTTAGAAACTAATTTTATCCGAATGTTCCCTAAACGTGTTCTTGACCATCATGCAAATTGCGTTTTACCAAAGTGAATTGTTTTTTTTAAATGAAAAATGCTCTCACCGGAACACTGTTTATGTCCTCCTTTCCGCGCGCTGTGTAGAACGCCCGTGAGGTTAAAGGTGATAAAAGTTTGCCTGTTTATCTAAGCAGCAGATTTATGAAGATGACTGTCTGTCTCCTTATATCGTTTTCAAACGCTGGCATCAAAATCAAACTCAAACTTCTACTAAGGCGTGGGAAGATTACAGTTTGCTGATGAAGAATTGTGTAGTACGGAACATGTTCGTTTTCTCTTATACGGGTTCAGTAGCAATTCCAAGTGAGGAAATGTTTACATGTTTTTGGATGTCGTGACTGAGTGTGTAGCAGGTCCAATCGATACATGCGACGACATTTTGTAATTTATGCTCCAAGCTACTGCTGATTTTATCTAAAAAGTCACACTTAGTAGTTATTAATATTGCGTTAAAGTTGACAGCCATAGCAACCACCAGTAAGAGGCCTCTTGGCAGGCCATAACTTTGTTGAATAATGAAGGAAAATTGGTTTAGGTTTTCTTAAAGGGTAATCAAACTCGTGCACCTTGACATTTTCGCCCACGCTTATTCCATTAAAGTCGATGAACAGGACCGATACCCAATAGATCTCAGAAGATAAGGGCGCATGGACATTCAGCGCTGTTCCGCGGAATGGTTTTCTTTTACCTGTTACTCGAAGTAAGTTCCGGGTGCCTATAGTAGTAATTAACCACCGACCAGGAGAGTGCTGGCTCGGTGGCCAGCAGATTAATCACGCAACTGAAGAAGAGGTAGGCTATCAGGACCCTGGGTTCGTTTTTATTGTCGCCTCGCCATAGATATCCCTGTTAGATATTAGCATGTACACATTAACTCGCGCTGAGGGAGTCAGCGGAAAGCAAAGGGTAGTAGCAATAATTGCGCATGGAAGTGAATTCACGATCTAAAATTGGAGTTACTGATACAGTAGTCGCCGGTTATTAAGCCCACCTCGGGCCCAGACCAAATTG